TCTAAATTGGGAATTTATCAGTTAGATAACTTCCTGAAGACCAACCAAATATCAGAATTAATTAGAGCCATTTCTGAAAAATATACAGGGTGTATCAACGATAGCTGTCTTCCTATTATTTTCAAACAAATATCCTTACTGATAGTGTATTTTCATTTCGACCCCATACATTTTTTCTATACAGGGGTAAACAATACTCGGGATCACTTTTTTCAAATAGCACCCCGTACAAAGGGTCATATCAGAATAATCCACACTATGAGCTTTCTGAAAATGTAGGGATTGACTACCACTATATTTTCATCGGAAATTCATCTACTTCTTGAATTGCGGTCTTTATCAAGCTGGTTGTTCTCATGGTATCCCGGAGTAACAAAGTTTCTTTGTTCGTTCGAACGTGATAATAACAGTTCTGGGTTTTTCATTATTGATAATCAGCTTTCAAATTCTGAATAATTCATCTATTTCCCATTATGAACACTTCATTGAAAGTTAATTATTGAAAATAGCAATCACTTTCTCTACTAATTCACATTTACATCATTTTGCAGTGTTCTTTTTCATCCTGTTCCTTTATTATCAATTTTGATATTTATTACCCATATTTCATTTCTGTTCATTTAAACAAGGTGCAACATAATATATGTTTCAATACACAAATAAAACTCTCGTGTTCACTAACCGACCGCCTAGACAAAACTAAATAATCCCGTTCCCTTCAGTTATCTCATCAGGGGTTACTCATTTATGTGTAATTGGTCCATTTATTGATAATCCAAATATTACATCTCTTTCTTATTTTTCATTTCAAATATTGAAGCAACAACAAATTATCACAGTTTCCCTACAAATACCAATATGAATTAGAATTTCATAATGGTAGGCACTAAATTCTCAGAAATATAATTGCATTAAAACGAAAACATTGTTGTCAGGTTGTGATTCTAAATGTTCCATCACATAATTATATAAGAATAATTTCCATACGCCACTGCAAGAGACGGATTAAGACAAAAACGTCACAGTCATTTCTGAGAATTTAGTGCCTACTATTTTGGAATTATATTGTGGATACATACAGATTCAAATTATAATTATAATCAACAGCAATAATGATAAAGCACATAACCTGCAAATAAAGTACAATAATGAACAATGATAATTTCAACCACGAGATCTTTTTGTGTTACACAATGATCAGGGATTTGCTTCTTTATCATCTGTTAATATTTTCCATTCTTTATCCACCTTCTTTAGGTGTATTACATCCCTTCTCACCTTCAGTCCCGTTTCAGCATTTCTTTGGTGCACATCAGCCCTTTTTTATTTACAATAGTATGGAATGTGGGTGTGAAGTTTGGGCAAGTTTTATTTTCCTTCTGCATTTTTTTAACATAAATCTTATCTCCTTTTTTGAAAGCATTCATCTTTTGCTCTTCTTTTCCTGTCACTATACTCGTTTCCCTTTTCTTTTTCTATTTTATCTGTATCCCTCAATTCGTTGTCTATTTCATTTTCGAACTCCACGATACTTGGAATTTTGTCTGTGCATCGTCGACCAAAGATAAGTTCAACTGGAGTTTTTCCTGTCGAAGAGTGGGGAGTGCTGGTGTACATCACTTAATAATCCTTAAGTTCATTCTCCTATTTCTGTTTGAGTGACTGACTTATTTTTATTATTTTAAAGATATCTCTGTTCTGCCTCGCAACTTCGCCATTTTGTTAAGGCCAGTAAGGTATAGCGTAACAAATATTAATTCCATACCGTTGACAAAATTTACGTGTCTCTTGACTGGCAAACTGTTTTCTTGGCAGTTATATGTTTAGTGAGTTTAACCTCCTTATAGCGACTGCAGTAATCAAGGACCACTAGTATGTACCCCTTACTAGGTAATGGTCCAAGATAATCGACAGCTATTATCTATAGAATTTTGTCATGATAACTCAGTTCTTGTTGAAATATCTTATAAATGTTGACTGATATATCCCAGTGGATTTCGAAGATGGTCTGTCGCAGGGGAATGGGTTAGAAGCTTCTAGAAGATATGCTGAAATGTATCTTCAACGGCAGCATCTTTCACATAGAATATTTGCTCGACTTCATCAACAATTACGAGAATATGGTTCATTCGACAAAAAAACGCAGGATTGTGGTCGCCATCGAGAAGTACGAACACCACAGCTTGAGTAAGCAGTACTTAATTTGATTGAAGAACAACCTACTACCAGTACTAAAGTACTGCAACTAGTACAAGCACTGTTACCGCGAGACTTTCCGAACCGTCTTGAATGTTGCAATTGGATGTTGGAAATGATTAGAAGAAATTGTGACTTTCTAAAGACGATAAAATTCACAGACGAATATAGTTTTTCTCGAGACAAGATTATTAATTTTCATAATTACCACATATGGGCTGATGAAACCCCTAACGCTATTGTCGAAACTAACTATCAAGAACAGTTTTCTCTTAACGTGTGGCTCGGATGAGGGGATGGGGATGATTCTATTGGGCCTCACTTTCTACCTCCTTGATTGAATGGTGAGCATGCGTTCAATTTTTAAGAGAAGTGCATCCAGTACAGCTGGGGGAAGTTCCTTTGGGCGTCAGAAGGAATATGTTTTTTATGCATGATTGGGATCCCGCCCATTTCAGTCAAGTAGCACGTCAGCATTTAACTGAAACATGCAAATCAGTGGATATGTCGAGGAGGACCACAGAACTGGCACGATCGTTCCCCGGATCTCAATCCTCTCGATTTCTCTATTTGGGGCCATTTACAGCATTTGGTTTATCGTACTCCTGTTCGCGATGTAGATGACTTAAGAAACCGCATCATCGATGCGCAGAGAGACTCCAAGAATATTTCGATGCATGCAGGGTAATCAGAGAGACTCCAGGAATATTTGAGCGAATTCGTGGCTCAATGCGCCGACATCTAGACGCATGCGTAATGTCTGAAGGTAGACATACTGAGCATTTACTATGATTTCTACATGTTGTGTGTTTTGTTATTGATAAATTAGTTTTGTTTATTACCCTTTAATCGTTTAATGCAAGTACTAACTACAAAATAACAATAAATCCAGTTCGCATTTATAACGATGTATCTCTGTAGTTGTTCGTAAAATAATTTTTTGCTGCGAACTGGTTTATTTTGGGCAAAAAACCCAAGAGACATTTTTTGTTTAGAATGAAACAGGTTATCGGAAATAAATTCTCAAATAGTAAACAAATAATAAGGCAAAAAGTTACATTGGAAATAAATTTTAGGGGTTGCATTTTCCACCCCTTACAACCATGGGAAAACCAAATAAATTACTGGCTAAGTGTCTTTTTGGTAGTACAAAACGTCAGATTAATTTCAATATTGTAACTTTTTCAGTGCTTTTTCAGAGTTTTTGGTTCTCTGAAGTTTTTATGACCCTAACATAACTATTTAGTGGTTTGATTCTGTTACATAATAATGTGTGTTCTAAAAGTTGAACATCTTCATTCCGTAAAGGCATTTCTTAGCCTTGCATTGTGTTCCCGCTCATCATTTTCAAATATGAGCATATCGTCTATAAAGTTGACCGTACCTTCGCACTCGAGCAGAATTATTTCCAGGATTTTTCTGGAAGGTTTCTGGGACACAGGATATCCCAAACATCAACCGTATGTAACGATAGAGACCTGTGTTGCTGATGAAGGTCATGATGTATTGTGAATCTGGGGAAATTTCTATTTGATGGATAGCATTTTCAATATCCAGCCTTGAACATATTTGAGAGTTCCGAAACCTTGGATGTAATTCATTCATTGTTGGAAGAGGATAGTTTTCTCTGATTATAGCTTTATTAGCAGTTCTCATGTCCAAGCATACTCTAACTCACCCAATTTCTTTTAGAACTGAAACTGAAGAGGAGAAACCTTTCTTGTTGGTCCTATAACCTCTTCTATCATGTCAGTGTCTAATAGTTTTTTTAATTTAAAATTCACTTTCGTCTCTGACGTAGTCGGTGGTAAACGTTCTAGCTTCTCGATGCTTTTGGATAGTTTCTCAGTTTTTGGCTTTTTACTTCTTCATCTTTATAGAAAAAATTTGATAAACTTTTGAAGAGAGCAGGGGAGCGATTAAGTTCAACCTCTATACAAAGATGTTGGGATTATGCATAGAGGTACTTTCAGATACAAACTGAAAAAAGCCGTTGCGAAACATGTACTTCCACATAAACATTGAATTACACGAAAGAAAAAATGTTTCGAAACAACTACTTTCGTATGAACATTGAAATATTCGAAAACCTCTTTCTCCGATTTAGTTTATACTCCAAACATTTGTTATCGAATTGAATCAGCTGTTCTTTTATTATCTGCGTCAATGTTGGTGCTAACTCAATCGATAATGATTCAAAAATGTTTTCATCTAGCGACATTGAACTGGTGCTTCTAAATATCAGAACAATAATACTATAGGTTTTCTGTTTTTTTCAAATCTGCTTCGACAATCCGGCAATTATTATTTGAGCATATATTTGTAATTGTTTCATCTCTTCATCATCTCTTGCAACATATTAAATCACAAAACCTTCTTGCAGGATCATGCCAGATGTCACTTCACGTAATTATCTATTGATATTGCAAAATACCACACTAAATATGATAAAAAAGTGCTAGCTCAATACATGTTTCTACTACTAGCTTCTAACAATAATAATATTGTTGTATTGTTCTAACTATAACAATTTTTTCAATAATATTCTCACATTTTTTTTGTATGAAGATGTAGAAATCCAAAACATTTCTCTTCAATTATTTTATTTATTGAATATGCGCTTGTCTTCAATATATAATTAGTTTGTTGGCTTTTGCTTCAATTCAGGCGCATTAAGCCGTGTTTTTCACTCATTTCTTCTACTTGTTTTTCGACCCATTAATATTGAAAACAAATACATCATCCCTGATCTGCAGCACGTTTAATAGCACACCGTTTGTTTTCATTCGCTCTTTCTCTTGCAGGCAGTCAACTCATCAAGAAAGACAAGGACGGCAGCGTGATCAAGGCCTACGTAGATCGCGACGGCATTCAGTACAAACATACCCATTTGGACATCGCCATGGGCTTCGGCGGATCAGCGCCCCTCCATAACAACAACACCGAAAAATCGGAAACTACCAGGCAAAGCAGCTCCAACAAGCCAGTTCACGCGATGGAGGCGCAAGGCGCGTTTCGAGAAGTCGGCCATGCGCAAAAAGAGTCAAAACAATCGAAAGCTTCGGGCAAACTCGGAGGGTTCTTCTCGAGGTTGGCGAGTTTCAGGTTCAGTTTGAAGAAAGGGGCGGAGGAAAAGTCGAAGCTGAAGAAGAAAACGCTGGAGCGAAACACAGGAGGTAAGTGGGGTGGCCATGAGATGTTTAGAATTCGAATTTAGTGAAAGCGAAGATCGAAAGGATTTCCTGTTGTCGAGGGGTCAATTCGCAAATTGATTCGTTACGTTTTGGTAATTATAATCGTTAGCGCGAATAAAGAGAAAGGAGAGTGGCAATAGGCGAGGCAAGCCCTCAATTATAGAGGATGTCGCAATTTTAAAAGATATAAATTTATTACAACGCCCGAAATGCATTAACACATATGTTTTATGGCCCATATCTCGTATAAAAAATGGAACATAAAAACAAGAAAAAAACAAGAATTCCACATGCTCAGCTAGACTAGAGATAACGAAAATGTTTGTTAAATCATAATATTTCAAATTATATGTATGTTATATTAGAAAAAACCACATAACATGTACGATAAATTGTACATTATCAATACTAGCGTTCAAAAGCGTAAAATAATAGCCTTTTTCTAAGGTGTAAATAAATCTAAACTAACGGGAAGAGTAACATTTTTCTCACAATCTGATAATGAACGAGGCTAAATCTGAAGATAATCTGTTGAGGTGTAATAAAGTTCAAATTGTAAAGTTCACCCTGAAAAGTTAGATACTGCATACTAAAAACAACTGAAGAGTCGAATTAGTTAGTAGTCTACGGAAAAAAAATTTGAATAAAAATAATTCTTTGAATATCATTATTTAGGTAATATTGAATATAGTGTATGTCAATTGTCCTTGAAAGGGTAATATATCCGTTGTATAGAAAGCGATAATTTTAAATTCGATTTTTTTTCACAGTAGTGAGCAATCTATCAATGTTTGATAATTTCAGTTTAACTGTAAATGCCTTATTTTATTCCTCTACAGGGCGTTTCAAATTCGCTCCTCACCATTGGGATCACGGAAACTATGAGGGATACGAAGGTGAATAAATTGGGGTAAAGTTGTGCATTCTGGCTTTATTTTTTCGTTGGCTTTTCAAACGAACCAAACTCTTCAATGGTTGTCGTCTTTCGGGATACAAGTTTGAATACATTTCCGATGTCGTAACATTGTTTCTATCGTATTTGTAATATAAATTTGTATCATATCTCTTTTTTCTTCATTCATGAAAGCCATTTTTCGCCAAAAATTCAATAACTTGTACAATAACAAAATGTCATTGGGTGTAATAAATTGAAAGTCAAGTTTAGAAACATCAAAGTCAAAGCGTATTATGGTTAAAATTAATTTTATTCAATGTCTCCAATTTTTCGAAAAAGAATGATAACTAACGATACGTCATTGAAAAGGTAAAATTTGGTTCTTTCCAAAATAGAAAGAATCCAATGTAGCGCTCATAGGAAAAAATAAAGTTGATGATGGTGGCCGGAAGACGAAACGTCGGATAGCAAATCTGAAAACACCATTATGTAGCAGGAAAAAAGTAGCAATGTGAAAGTGCAATTTATTTTCAAATCCTTCGTAAAATAAAGCCAGAAAAAAATTAAAACCATTTTCCGAAATTTCTGTTTTTCCGGATATACTCCGGATATACTCGGAATTTCAGATCTTTCTCAACGGCATATTGTTAGTCAGGAAATGCGCAACTTTGCCCCAATTCAACCATCTACGTATCTCTCATAGTTTCCGAGATCCCAATGGAGAGAATCGAATTTGAAACACCCTGTGTAGACAATAGAAAGTACATATAGTTGTTATACCTTCAACAATGTCAATCGAAAAAGTTTTTACACGTTTGACAGCATGTGAAACAATTTGATTTTTCAATAACAATAAATTTATTATTATTGAAAAATGTGCTAAAACAATATTCAGTGGACGAAAAAAGAATCCCGTTCTTGTTTGGTTTTTGGCGAAATATAATTATCAAATAACTGACAATGAAAAAGGACCTAATCTCTTGAATTGAATCTGGAATCTTTGGTATACAGTATACGGGCGCAAATAGTCCCTCTCCCTCTTAACTTTTGAACAAGGCAATATTATCACGGTCGGACAAAGTTTACGTGAAAAGGTATCGTTATTAGTACTTTTTGATAAGAAGGGCTATGGTGTTACATTACTCTTCACCAGGATTGGAAATCGGAACAGCCTTCTTCTATAGGTGACAATAATATATTCATATTCAGAATTTGTAAACAAAGAGTGATATGGAAATTTCAAAGAAAAAAATTATTCGAAACTCCCTTCAGTTTAAGAAGTTAACCATTCACTTCGTGGCAATAAGGAAGCCTGTTAACAAATTTATTTTCTATTTCATGAAATGTAGACTCATGAAAGTCTATGCTTGTACAAAAATCATCACTGCTCTTAAAAATGAATAAAATACAGGGGTGTCTTCATCTTAAGTGTGACACACTGTATATTTAAATGATGTTTCCAGTAAATATTACTGGAGTTTTATCCCAACATCAAACCGTTATTTTGAACACCTCGACACGTGTTTTAATCACCAAGTGATCATCTTCGAGAGGAAGATTAATCTTCCTTCAAGACACGTGTCGAGGTATTCAAAATAACGGTTTGGTGTTAGTAATATTCATCACTACACCAAAGGTTTCAAACAGTGCATCACAAATGTTTCCAGTGTTCCAACACATCATTTGTGATGATTTTATGTAAAGACTCTTGTATAATTGATCCTGTTATCAGTTATGGCGAGAATCGGCCCCTGTCTGCCCAAATCGTCTCGGTTATCCGTAAATTTAGAGTCTATTTTACCTAGGATTTTTTACCTAGCAAATTACATCTAAAAAGACAAAGTCCAATACTGCACCGCACAAATAGGTTTTATGATTGAGGATTACCATATTTACAATCTTATTATCGTTATTCACAACTGAATAATAACCTCCAGGTAATTCCACTTGAAAGAAACAATTTAATGAACCTCCACTAAGACATATCATAAAGCCTACGACATCATACCGATTTTTCCGATTTTTTTTTATTTTGAGAAGTTTCTCTATGTTCTTTTTTCATGTTACTTATCAGTTTTTCAAATGGTGAATTTCAATTGAAAAAAGGCGTAATAAAATTAAGCAAAGCCGATTTGATATTTTCCAGAAAATGCGAATTCAGCGCTTCTGAATTGTCAGCATTTTACCAAATTCAGTCAAAAAACTAAAAAAAACCTTTTGAAAAACCCATTATGAATGGACATGCGACTCCGGATTCGTTATCGGCGACGCTGAAAACCGTTTTGGTTGCTCATTTGTTTTAAGTAATGAAACACAAGTACATAAAGAAAGCCAAAAATGAAGTGATTTTGAGGTGTGGGAGGAACAGGGCCGATGCTACCTCGTTTCTTAGGCAAAAATTATTCTTAGGACACTTGTAAATTTTTGGGCAACTCANCGTTTCTTAAGCAAAAATTATTCTTAGGACACTTGTAAATTTTTGGACAACTCATGCAATTTATTAAGATTCATTGTCATCGGAAGTTCAGCGAAACAAATTTTCCTACACAATTGGCGTCTCGATAGCAACGATATGTCGGAGTGACTGTCACAACGACTTGTCGCTACGATTTCCAGAAATTGATGAGAATTTGCACCAACCTTCAACCTGACTCCAACTCCGAGAAGTCGTAAAGTTTTCCTGCTAGTCAAGCTAGTAAAGCTCTCGTTTCATCGATTTTTCGTGACTTGAGAATCACATTATTGTAAATGATTGTTTTTAATTCACTATCTGATAACTTTTCCAGAAAATAAAACGTACATTGTTGTAAAAAAAAATCACAAACACTCGTATAATTGAATAAATTATAAATATGTAATATGAAGGTTCAGTTTGGTTCAAAATAGCTTCTTCAAACTTTGTTTTATTCCCATATATCTCCCTGTGGATTATCTAAACCTTCGACCATTTAATTTGATGTTGGTAGGTGCTTCTATATGCAATGGGATTGGCAGGTACTTGATGGAAATTCATGATAACTCATTTAAATAACACTTCATTGTGACATTTTCACTCAACAGTTCACAAAACATCGACACGTGTTTCATTAAACAATATCTTCTTCAGGCTTCAGTATTTTCTCATTAGTGAATAGTTTTAGAGAAAAAAATATATCTCGACTTTTTATATCCTTTTTAGGGTACCTTGTTTTTGTTTTTTATGTTTTCTTTCTATATCATTCAAATATCAATACTATACATAAGAATAATTACACAATTTTCACAAACATTTTAATTTTTAGACGCGTTTCGCCAACACTGTAGCTTTCTCGGTAGCATGAGGGTAGCAGCAGCTGTCCTAATTATATGAGCAATACTAAACATGCAGTAATGAATTCGGCTTTTTAACGATTTTTCATGAATTTCACTTTTGTATAAACGCAACAGGAAAGATTTGGTGCTATTCAATTCCATTCAAGTTGACGTTTACCATATTTTTTTCATTCATAGTCGTTAGTCACGTCATTTAATATTTCTTATTGTAATATTACTTATCTCTGCTAATATCCGAACCTTCGGCCCTTAATTTTTCAACTTCTCAATTACCGTTGCAAATCAGTTACTAGCCTTTGAGAAAATAATCGTACTGTTTTCACAATAAATCCATACAGAAACTATGTAAATATCTATAAAAAAACTTTTATTATCACTCGCAAATGTGTCCTTCCATTTTCGTATAATTTTGACTTCCTGAAGTTTTTTGTGATAAATCATAATAAACACGATTTGCGTGATCAGTAGCTTCTAGATGAAGCAATTATTCCTTTGGAATAAAATCAAAGGTTACTATTAGATCAAAGTTTTGGAAATTTGAATTTGATGGGTTTCGAAAATGTTCCTTAATAGTTCAAAATCTGTTTTTTCGTTAACCAGCTGTCGCCCACTACGAACGACAATTCTCAAAAGTCGAAACTTATGCGAGCTAGAGACTAACGAGGTCTCACCTTTTAACGTGTGATCTCTTAAACTTCCACGATAGTCCTTTAATTTTTATTATTAATCAAATTTGCTAAGGTTTGAATGACTAGATATATACCTAATAGTGTAC